TCCGTAGTGCAACCGTCGGCGTCGAAAGGATCGAGATTGCCGCAGTCGGCTGGAAGGCGCAAGATGGAGCGGGCCGCCACTTCTGACACCATGTAGTGGAACACGACAAGCCGGGTCCGAGAGCCGGTGACGAAGAAGAAGCAGCTCGCTCCCGGCGGCTTAATTTATAACCCACTTAACAAACACGTGGCGCCCTCTAGGTTAGTGGCGCTACTGTACAGTGTGAAAGGTCCAAATCACCACTATAGCTTCTACTACCAAATACAACGGCAGTCACACAATACACTTATACCCCTGTTACACGGGCACACTTAACCACGGTTAACTCGGCTTAACTGCTGTTGCGCGGCACCACAGATACCGCACTAGACTCTCGGACAACTATTTCAGAAGAAGTGAAGAGCGCGCGCGCACTGCTTCGATAGATGCTCAAGATGCTCAAGCGCACGTTCGCCCATAGCTTTGACTGCATAGCCGCAGAATGTTGTCCGCAAGTATTGTGCGCTATCCGTGGCTTAGCGTAACTGCAGTTAAATGTGCCCGTGTAACAAGGGTAAAAGACAGTTTTGTGATTTCTTTATATTTACACTGAAGGGCATTGATATCCTACGTATTAAGAGGGTTGACACCTTCTGTTCAACCAACAAAGAGCCTTTTCTACTCAAGTTTTACATGGAAAGCCCGACTTCCGCTGAAATTCCTCACGTAGACGATTTGTTTGACCGAATAAACTGCCATTACTCCCGATCTGGGAATCTGTCGACCTTCGTTTGTAGGCCATAGTATCATGAGATCGAAGGGTGTGGCTCTTCGTCCGCCGAACATTGCTTCGGCGGGTGCTTTTACCGTGTAAGATGAGACCGTCGGCGTGTTGCTGGCACAAGAACCTGGCGATTCTTCACTGAACTGCTTCTTCCATAAGCTTCAAGAGGGCTTTGTTCATTTCGCACACCATCTGTTCTGCTTGTCCGTTAGTTGGAGGATGGTATGGTGCACTAAGGTGATGCCTGATGCCGGTTTTCTTTTTTTTTAACTTTTTATTTCATTTGAAGCAAGATTTGGCGCGTTATCAGAGAAAAGTATTTTTCGGTAGGGCAAATGTTAGGAAAAACAGAGCTTAGAACGTCAATGACGCGTTTGGAGGTCGTGGCAGGCATCGTGTAAACTTTCAACCACTTAAAGTACGCATCGACAATGACTCCGCAGATGCGGATACGTTTCGCCACCCACCGACTGAATAATGGATCGTTTTCAATTACTGTTCATGATGGCGCTGGACTCGAGGAAGACTTCGAGTCTTTCCACAAAGTTAGCCCAGGTGCAAGCACTTTTGTCGAAAGCGGTAAGTGTTTGAAAAGTCGACAACGGCGGTAGCCACGTGCTGTACTTGATACTGGACGCTTACCATTCGCTGAGAAGAAACTTGCTTGTTCGTCTGCCACGAGTCGTCCGATATCAGGTCATCACCGCTACTCCATCTCCCGACAAAACAGGTCTTCATTGTCCGCATGTCCATAGTTAGCAATCACGTGAACTTATATATTCCCGAACGCTCATAACCTGCCGTCGCTAAACGCCGTTTATTCATAGCCTCTTCATTGCAAATAAACGTCTTCCTATTTATTCTGATGGTTTTCATCATATTCCTCCTAAGCTGTACTTACAACATTATGTGTGTCGGTACTTCCGAAAATATTGGAATGCCGTTTGTTTTCTGGGAGCTATAATGTAACAACCTTTACAACATCTTCCGGATCCCGTGAAACACAATATTTCGTGACGTGGCTTTCCAGTCGTCATTATAATGGTGAGGTAACTACCGTAAATCGCGAACCAGTTTACTTGACGTCCGCTTTCACTGGTGTCCTGGAAGATTGAGCCTGCTGAGCGTGCATTCTTGCAGAAGGTTTTCATTGACGGGATATTGACACGTCAATCAGCAAGTGATTCCTTCTTGGTTAGGTTTATTGCGATATCCCGTGACAACCGCCGAACCGCATTTATACCCAGCCTGACATTCTCGCATACAGGAGTTTGCTGGGCCACGCTACTTGAACCAGCTGAGCACAGCTGGCAGCGACGCGAGCAAGGCCACGAGGGGAACGTGATGGTGCTCGAGCCATCCCACCGTGAACCAATGTTTCGGCCACCCCACGGGTGCGTGTCGCCATCTATTGGTTGAACTAACGCTTTGTTCAAGATGGCTGCCGTGGGACCGCAGCCTTAAGTGCTTCTGGCCGGAAGGCATGTGGAATGGCAAATTATCATTGGCACGTGCGTGTTTTGCAGTGAAGGCAGAGTACGATACCACAAAAAGCGATTACGCCGATACTCAACTTCAATAATCTTTGGCTTGCTTAAAACAAAACCCGACCTGATCAGACTTGTAATTACAAGGTAAGAAGTTTATGTGCCTGATGAGCCGTTTCGAATATTGTTCTTAAGAGGACCTGAATGCTTCATTTGAATCAAAATCTTCATTAAAATTCAGTTTTGGTCATATTTGAGATTTATTATTTGCAATTATGTTTTCTTTATCGTTCTCAAATAACTTTAAGCATTAAATATGGCGAAGATCCACGCAAGATAGGTATTTAACATATATTCAACGTCAGCAGCGCTTCCTGTTTTAAAGGCTTAACATGTCTTGTTATGTGCTTGATTACTCCAGTAAAACAAGCTCAAAAAGCAGTTACATAATATGAACTCTCGGATCACCCAAAAGAAGTCTCAGCAGGTTATTTAAAAAATGACAGAGCAATCCTATTAACCACTTAGACTTGTCAAACATTTTTAACCTTGTAGTTTCACCTCACTGCAGTAATGTCAGAAAGCTCTTACGGGGTAAAAAAATGTTTTACTAGAAAAATATTTTGCAAACATTCCGTTTAGATTTTATCAAACTACTTCAACTTTTTCGAAGGAATCAGCTGTGGTCGGTATCAGCGTCTGGGACGTTTGACATAGAATGACCATCCAGCATTGTGCAGACATTTATAATAATTTGTGCCAGGCACGAACGAAGCAGGGGGTTTAATTAATGTATTATTAATATACGCTTTAAAGTCCCGTTGACCATGCATAAAGGTAAACTACAAAAAAAAATATAACACTAATATAAATATACTAAAGCAAAATAGATTAATTATATCATGTAACGTATTATCTTTTGACAGAAAATAACATGACAGAAAAATGGAAACATTTGACACGGAGAGGTTTTTATACGCGAGAGTTGTACCGGGAAGAAAAACGCTGTTAAACGATGAGGATTTCTTTTAGCACTTACAACCGTCACCGTTTCAACTTCAAAAAACAAAACAAAAATCACATCTTTGTGGTTGATGCACGATAATGAGTGACACAAAATAGGTTACACGGCGCGATTAGAATATGACACATTCGAATAAAAACTGTGGAGAAGGCATAGACACCGGGTTTGTTAAGAGGGAACACACATTCGAAGATATGATTCCTGACACGCTGACGACATAAGAGTACGACTATGCCATTAAACGGGCAGCTATATTTTGCGCTGCTTCTGTGCGATTCGTTAGGTACACCGGCCATGCGCGTGCTCCCTCTGGGAGATGCAAATTCAAGTTGAGGACGTAATTATGTTTCGCGTACAAGCTGTCGTAATCAAGACGGCGCTTCATTTAAATTAAGTTTATGGCATTCAAGTGTGCGTGTTGCCTTAGCAGTTACTGCTTCTACTTGATGCGTCCAAGATATGTTAGCTGACAGATGAAAAGTTTCAAAACCGAGATACTTGTAAGATGAAACAGGGGTCACATTGGTGTTTCGATGGACTATGGGTATAATGATCGGTATAGTTTCCGAGTGAACGACCTTCGTGCACTTGGTTTTGTTTAACGGCATTAGTCACGTTTTGCACGAGGCGTCAATTTAGGTTTGATCGTCCTCAACTTTGTTGGGGTTTTGCGGCTTTAAAGTTCCGCCGTACGTAGCACGATTGTCAGCGATAATCCTGATGGCTGAAGTGTTGTTGAGTGGCCAGTCAATAATACGGATTAATTAAAACAGAGGCGAGACACCAGCGCCCTAAGGAATTCCGGAAGAAATGTAGGTGAATAGGGATAGACTTTGTTAGCTACCGTGAACTGCAGAGGTGAAGTAAGGTGACTTTGGATTCATGACAGTACGAGAGGATCAATTTCTAAAAAGTTTAGTTTGAAAACAAATTGATCGTGAGGGACATGATTAAACACATTAAAAAACTCATAAGATATGGTACCAGTGCGAAGGTTTCTCTTTATGTTTTCATGTAGGTCGTAGGACAACCCAGTTCTTGTTGTCAACTGACTGACCTTTTAGATGTCCCTGTTGTTAATTGAAAAAGAAAAATATTGAAAGCTTTGAAAATATTGACACTGTTCAAGGATATATTGTAAGCGACTTCATTTTCGCGCGTCCAATATTTTGCGGATTTTGAGGAGTTAGTGTTTTGAGAATATTTCGCGAACACGAAATTTTCCGATTTGGAGTGATAGGGTACATATCATTTACCATGGGGTGATATATTCGCTAGAGCAATCTTTGGCATTATCTTTCGCAGGTCGAGAAATTCGGGAAAATTAGGTCCTCGCGAAAATCAGTCGTTTGCAGTAATATGTTCGCGGAGCTTTGCTGGTACACTTGCTAATAATATAATAAAAGGCAATAATTGCAAGCTCATCATTTGTCACCACTTTTGTGATACAGAAATATTATGCCTACATTTCAATATCTTGGAATGAAGCCTGAAGGAAGTATAGTGTTAAAATATATTCAAGCTCTAAACTTTTATATTTTCAGTGTTTTTGCGTTGATTTTTTCAGCTAAATGGAGACGACGGGTGTGTTTTGTTGTTTACTCATGTGTTGACTTCCTCTGGTGATAGTCTGATTGCATCCATCATCGGATATTCCAACCATATCATCTAGAGAGGCAGAAACGTACCGGAAACCAAGCCGAATCGTCGGAGAAAGCTTTCTCACCAACAAGTTTTGCGAAGCCCTTCCTCGATGTTGGCTGTTTCTGTCATATCCGTGGACGCCTTGGAGAGCTGGATCATGCTCTTGTACTTCTGCGAGCAGCGGCCGCCTTCCACAAACAGGCTCTTAAAGCATGGTGCCAGCCGGAGGTAATCTGCGTTGAGAAACACTTATTTATCTGAATGATTCAAAAGAAAGCGCAACAACGAACAAGTGCCGGGACCGATATTTCACGGGCTTCTGTGCAGAAAAGCACCCCTCAAATCAACTAAACATACGAAAATTATGAAATTTACCAAAATAGTCATGCTCATTGAATATTAAACTTCAGACAGTAGGCTTAGGAGAGAGAGAGAGTCAGTCAGAAATGCAAGCGACCATGCAGGTTGGTATATAAGTATCTTAATGATACAAATTGGCAAGAATGGTTAGACTGAGAACAGAAAAGACGTTGACCAAATCTGAAAACCTTGCGACATTACTCAAATGTTGAGGGCCCTGGTGAAATGGTTACACATAACCGATTCCATCTTTCACTAAGATTGTGATCGTGGCCGTGTCCTACGTCGTTTTGTGCCTATCTTTAACTATCTATGATACGGTGCAGCGGAACAAGCATTTTAGTTTGGCTCATCCATTTCCTTTAGTTTCGACATTTACATTCCTTCTTCTTTTTTAACGCCTAGTAGTTAATAGCATTTAGCGGCACTAATAAGTTTGTTTCTTTCAGTATTTTAGCCTTCTTATGGAGCTACAAAGATAAGTATAAAAACTAGAAGAAGCGGTAACGCCTGTCTTAAGCGTTTGTCCTCGACCCTCCGAGTCTCGCGCGCTGAACGTTGCCGACTAGCAGACCCCTGCGTCCATCCCAATCAAAAAGTCGGGGACAAGCCCATTGTTCACACAAACGAAAACGCAAATGTAAAAAAAAACAAAAAAAACTTGAAGGTGATCTACAGAGCACTGTGCTGCGAAGCAAGGCGAGACAGAAACATTTCTTACTCATAGGCCTCGAAACATCCGCCCTTTCCGTTATTTTTGAGCATCGTTTGTTCGTTTTCAGAGAGGAGACATTTATCTCTCTTTCGAAGAAAAGATGAACACAACAAACCAAAGAAACAAGACGCGAGCGCGCAACGGGTAATACATTTTGAAAAAAAGAAAGAAGGGTTGACTGAAGCGCCCAAACGACGTTGGAGCAAAAAGGCCTGGGAGGATCGAGTCAAAGGATAGGGTCTAGTTTTACGCCTCCAATTTTCCGCGTCATCGGTCATCCTCTGATCTGAAAGCGTGAAAGATACTCTTGACTCCATAAGATGAACACAAAACTTTCTCCCGCCCCCCCCCCCCCCCCCCCCCCGTCCCTTCAGTCTCGTCACTTTTTGTCTCCCCGTACTTTTACTTTTTCCGCGCAAATGCCCCTCCAAACAGCACGAAATGAAACGTGAGAACTCGGTCCCGCCTTTCGTCTCGCGTGAAACGCGATAACACACACAACCAAGAGAATAAGAGAGAAGTGAGAGACAGCGCCGGCATCAACGCGTACTCACGGTGCACGGGATCGAATTGTTGCGCTTTCTTCCATTACGTGTCGCGAACGTTCGCCCTTACACGCGAGGAACTTTATTTCAGTACAACGCGACCGTGCTTGGTCAGAAGAGAAAGAGAGAGAAAAAATAACAACCTCAACAAAACTGTTGTCTGGGTCACGGACCCCGGCGGTGTCGCCCGTGTTGATGGAATAGTCGATGGAGATCGCATTCTGCTCTACCGAGTGAAACAGCGATTGTCTATATCACGTCAGACGTCCAACTTTTTTTCTTGTCTGTTTGCCGAAACTATATTTATTTCTGACTTGTTTATTTCTTTCAAGCTGAACTGCTTCGTGCGTTTGTGGTGAAACAAATAACAGGCGGGAGTGACGCCGCGTGATTGTAACGTGCGAGGCAGCGCAGCAGAACATACCGCGGCTCTGCCACAACGGCATGGGCGTACCACCCGGGGGTACGCCGGGTGCCCCCTCCCCTCCCAGTTTTCAGAGGGGGGGGGGGGGGCAAGGCATGTGTTTTGGGCCCCCTGAAACAGCCGCCACTGGGCAGGGCAAGCACTGACCGACGGCGCTGAAGGGATACCAAGGGCACCACCCCCCGGCCTTCCGGGGGGGGGGGGGGGGGGGGCGGCAGGGGGGTGAGGTCTGGTTTGCCCCCCCACTCACAAACAAGTTGGTACGCCACTGCACAACGGGACACTCTACCTAGCGATGGTTGCATTTGTTTCGCTTAAATAAGTAGCATATCATCCATGGATATTCAGTGCACTTTGTTCCCACTATTCAAAGGAACGTATCCTTTTTACTCAAGTATTAGCCGCACTGTCTACCACAAGGGACTGGAGATGTGCTTTTGGATAACCCGCGAAGAGTCCATCGCCGTCCATCGTGTATGAAATAAACGAAGCGGAGCATAAGTAGAGACGTATGATTTTGGTTCGATAAAAATTGTGATCCGGACTCCAAAGACCTTTCAAAGCCCGTACGCAAGCCGCGAAGCGCATTCAATTAACCTTCATTTCCAAGTGCCGGATTTAGGATTCATAGCTGGCTCTTCGTTTCCTTTGGCTCCAGTCTGGAACTTTGCTAACTACGGGGTGAGCGAAAGAAAAGCCTTGGAAACGCCAAAGAAAAGTGCTTTGTTACATGACTACCACCTTGGAGCAAAACCGTATTAGGCCCAGGGTAGGCAGCTAGGACTGTCAAGCGTGTGCAAGGTTGGGCATCTTTCTGGCGTGCTTGTTGCGAAGGGGCCGCAATCCGTCCACCTCTGGGATAGAGTAATATTGGTGCGGTCATTTTTATCCGTGCTGTGGGGGGCATACGCACCGTTCTGCATTCTTCCCGGGCTGCAGAGCTCGTTCATCACCTGCCTGGTGCCGTGTACCACGTCGTTGTACAGGATCTGCTTGAGCCGGTCCGAGCAATGGGCCATGTGTTCGTCCACGCACCGGTGACCCTGCCTCCACTTGCTGGGCCGAGGGCGTGGACGCATAAAAGCGACAGGCGTAGATTAACTTCGCGTTGAGAGGAAACAACAGTTTTAGTACGAAGGGTATCGCTAGGTGTAGATAAACGTCTGTAACGGCTTCAAACGCAATTTAACGAGAATGCAGGGGCACGGAAGGACTTTCGGAAGCTGAACTAGCTGGTTAATTAATGAACATTATTCAGCTGGCACAATAAACACCCTTCATTGCCTGGTTTATTAAGGGATCAAGGTAGAACGTAAAATTAACCAATGTTACTTCCCACTCACGGGAAGCTTCAATTTGAAGGCATAAATCAGCAAGAGCAACTGCCTTGTAACCACCCATTTGCGTCGGTGGGAATGGATTTTAGATCAACAAAAAAAATTTACTCAGCCAGAATACACGAAAGATGCAGTAGAGTAATGCTTTTGACCATCATAATATTTGTGATGTGCTTGCAGGCAAGGGTTAAAACGCCATACTCAGTTCACTGCTTAGCTGATAGAGCGGTGCATGCTGCGCACATAATGGACCAGTCAACTTTGCAGCACGTGACTACGCTATGCACGCATGCCCCCGCGCAGGGAGTGGGGTCAGGTACAGAAAGACGGGCGACTGATGAGTCCAACGAGCGTGTAGCTGACGCCACTCTATCAGATTATAGATTAACGCAGTGTAAAAGACGACTGCACGTCAAGGTCAGCGCAGAGCACTCGCGTAGTCAATCACTGAATTCTACAAAAAAACCTCAATTAATATTACAAAAAAAAAAAAAAACGTTTGCGAGGTTAATTTGAGCTTCCCGTGATCAAGTAAAAAGTCACGCTCAGGGTCAAATTGCCGATTTTTTTTTATGAAATATTTTTCTAAGGTCTTCTGATTGGCCGGGCTCGCCTCTATAGGTTGTGGCGATTGGTTCTCCTAGTACTCTGAGGGGAAAGTTGACTCAAAAATTTTTAACGGGATATCTTCACACTGCATGTCTGATGGTACGCAAATAATCCGAGAATGCAATCTGGCCCAAAAAAATGCAATCTTGAAAAGGAAGCAATTCTTTTGCAAGCACAAACTTAAAAAAGAAAAGTATGGTACACCTGGAAGTGCAAATACTCATTAAATCATTTAATATTATCATTAAAGCTTATTAAGACATTTAAAACGATTTCACTATACAGGTTATATACGCCTTCTTTGCCGGTATTCTAAACGAAATTCGCAGGTTGTTGATCAGGTAGCAATGACGTCAATAAAAAAGTTCCAACGTTTCGTTGACTGAGTTTCCTTCATCAAAGCGATGAATATCAAGTCGTGAAGAAGGTCTGGCAAGATTATGCATTGTAGTTTCATGCATTTTTACACGCCCATTTTTTTTTGTAAATAAAATTTCACCTCTCGAAATGTAGGTGGGTTTATAAAAAACGATGTCCCATTAAACGTTCATTGAAATTTTTTTAGATAATTTGCTTTATTACGTATGGCCAGAATGTGTAGATTGCTATGCCCAGAATGTGTAGATCGCTACGGAAATGTGTAATTCAATTGTGTAAGGGAATTGTGCAGCGAAAATGTAATTCAGCAGTGTAACGCACCAATGTAAATTGAGGTATTCTTCTATAGCAATTCCTGTTTTCCCGCTAGATTTAGAAGAGAAATGCTTCACCGATAAATTTAGAGGGGGAATTGTATTAGTGCGAAATTAAATACGGTGTCTGAAGTCACTACGATTAATCTAAAATGGACCGTTAAAATCGATGCACACGAAGCAATCTAAACGTTTCGTCAAGGGTGTACCTCACGGGTTCGTTTTCTGGAGTTAAGGCCTGACCACACTAGCGTGAACGGCGCCGCCGGGCGGCGCCGCCGGGCGGCACCGCCGTCCGGCGTCCCACAACGAGGGAGTCCACATTGGCCTCCGTTTTGCAGGCGTCACGTGACAGCTCTGGATCCCGCGATCGCGCCGCCCGTCGGATTTCCCGCTCTTTCGTCGTCTGCTCTTCGTTACATTCTTCCGTTCCGCACTCGCTCCCTACATGGTAGGAGTCCATATTGACCTGGTGATCAGCGTGAATGTGATTATCCTAGCCTGCTCGTTGATCTTGCGACGTAACCGCGCTCTGAAGAGAAGGAGGCGCAGGTTTTGGGTCCGGCCGAGTTGGTTCTACCGAAACACCGAAGGACAGGACAGGTCTGGCGCGCCGCCGGGGCTTTGCTGATCCGGCGTCGCGCCAGAGATGAAGGCTACTTCCGAAAGTGTCACCAAATCAACACGACATCCGTCACAACACAGACGACGTGCAACCATTGCTACGGAGAAACTCACTTGTAATTCCGAATTCCTCTCCTAAAATTTCCCAGCGGTTGTTATTAGCGTCCTTATCTAGGTAGTCTGGCTGCGTCTTGTCATATAAAAGGAAAGCAGTCGCGCAGTTTCAAGGAACCGCTCCGTTGGGAAAGGCATCGGGGGAAATAGGGAGAGTAGACGACACGAAACACGTCCTTCGGAACGTGAAGACGCGCCGATGACCGGCTTGAGCGTTGCCATGGCATCGCGACGTCACAATCTACGCCACCTCCCATTGGCTCCTCTCTTCTGCGGCGTGCGGCGCCGAGCTGTGAACCTCTCACGGAGCGGTTGACTCTGCGGCGCCGTACGTCGTGCCGTTTAAGCCGAAAACTGGTTTGGGTCGGCAAACGGCAGCGCCGGCCGCCGCGCCGGCCGTCGCGCCGCAGGCCTCCGCGACGCTAATGTGGTCGTGCCTTTAGGCGCCCATTTCCGGCTTGAGCGGCGTCGCCGTCGCCGTCGGCGTCGGCGTAATCGTGAGGTTACGTGACCCCCCCCCCCACCCGTGCGAGGGGGGGGGGGGGGGGGGTCACGTAACTTCACGATCACGTAACCTCACGTAACCTCACCCCTCCCCCCAGTGCGTAGCGCAGCGTCTAGATGGCTTTCCACCGTAGTGTATGGAACGCATAGTTCGTAAATGAAAATCTAGATGGCGCTTCGAACGACGGGAGGCGGACTGAAGTGAGTGAGGGGGTACCCCCTTCCGCAAGAGTTCCACGACTGAGGTAATCTAGTAACGTTGGGTCCCGCCGACCAGCGAAAGAAAGCATACGACATGCAGACAAAATCCGTTGGCCGCAAGAACGCCGTCGCTATGCAACCGCGTTTTTTGTTTTTGTTTTTTTTTACTTCAAGTTTTACTTTTATTGTCCGCATTTATTTTGCGTCGCCGCCCGCCGTTGACACTGGTAAGTTTTCGGCCCCATTTTTTTACAGAAAGTTATCTACGCTTTGCAATTTTACAAAGAAAAACGGACCTGTGAACTACAGCCGTGACGAAAAGTTTAGATTGTTTCGTGCAGGCGTCGATTTTTACGGTCCCTTTAAGGTCGAGTCTGGTGACTTTAGACACCTTCTACACCAAATAAAAACACAATCAATGAATGAGCTGAAAACATGCCGTATGTTCTGTGTCTCCCAATTAAATAAGCGGGATTAATTAGGCACATTAATTGTTTTTTCCCGAGTTACACAGTCTCGTGGTACATTCTTACCTGCACAGGATGTCCAGCTCCTGTCTGGAAGAGGCCAGGGAGAGCTCCTCGGACTCCGTGATGCTGCTGAGCTTGCGCATGCAGCCGTCGAACTCGTCCATGGTGCAGGTCACGTTGACAGGGCGCATCACCATGGACCCACCTTCGAGAAAAGCGCGCGCGAAAACTTTCGTGAATAGCGATATGGTATACGCAACAAGCGTGTCTATAATTTGGTGTGGATCTTTAAAGGGTAACTGCAAAGAAAAAAAGTGTATTTTTAAACAACCTAATTGGGACAAGCATGTCACAAAACAATTTTTCCGCCAAAAACAAAACTTTTTACAGCAATATTTATTGCGCGAGACTGATTTTAGTTTGCGGCTATTTTGTCCGTTTTAAATCGCGCGTTACAAAGTTGGTATTATACGTCACGGAGTGGTTGCTATACTTCACGGAGTGACGTATAGCAGCTACTTCGCGTGCGCCGAAAGAGCGGGAGTTTCAAATGTGGAGAAGTCGTGACTCCGACTAAATTACGTCCTGCGGTGTAAATATTGCTAGAACAAATTTGTTTTTTCGCGGAAGATTTGTTTTGTGACATGCTTGCCCCATTAAGGCTGTTTAAAAAGCACTTTTTTTCTTTGCAGTCACCCTTTAAAATAACACGAGGCGGCCGAAAAATATATTTCTTCGAGGGCCTAATTAGGACACATATGTTAAAAATATAAATATCCCCAGAAAAATAAATTACAGATATTTACGCTTCCCTGTAATGCGAAATTAGAGCGCAGGTCTTGAGGTATGTTGATACTATGATATACCGAGGTAGATAATTTGAAATATATATATGTATATATATATATGAGCGGTCCCCGCTCGAAACGTCGTAATAAATTTCGTAATACAAAAAAAGCAGACCTGTGATATACATCATTGAAGAAAAGTTTAGATGGCTACGTGCAGGCGTAAATTTTTACGGTCCATTTTAGATCGAGCCTGGTGACTGGGACCACCCTTTATTATATATATATATATATATATATATATATATATATATATATATATATATATATATATATATATATATATATATATATATATATATATATATATATATATATATATAATCTTTATTTTCTTTGCGGGTAGGTCATTGAGGTTAAGGCCCATAATGCAACGCGCGCGGTGTTTGTTCCAATGTGAAACGTTTTTGGTTAGTTGCTTAGGATTTCGTGAAGCCGTATCTCGCGAAGCCTTGGCCTGATGACGTAACAATTTCCCCGCTAAATTTAGCGGGTAAATTTGCGTCACAGGACTTGTGTCACGATAGCTATGACTAAATTCATATTCCCTGCTAGGTTTAGCTGGAAAGATTACGTCACGTGACCTCGACACCAATTCAGTTTCCCCGCACATTGTTTTTTGGGGGAAATGATGTAACATGACCATGTCACGTGACTTATACACCCAGCCTGTTTTTCCGCTCAATTCAGCGGGAAATATATGCCCCATGGCCTAAACACCAGTTCAATTTCCGGCTAAATTTAGCGGGGAGACCGAATTCGCGCTGAGATAATGTGACATCAGTTTGGCCGCTAAATGTAGCGGCAAAATGAGACATCACAGACCTATACACCTATTCAATTTCTTCGCTAAATTTAGCGGGGAATTGAATTGAAATAAAGATCTGTGACATCCCATAATGCAAGGCGCGCGGTTACGCCGACGCCACTATACGCGGAAACGGGAGCCTAGGAGCTGCGCACTAAACAAATACGGGCAGTTTGATACTTTATTTCCATGTTCCAGGGAATAAAAACCCAGCTTTCGGATGACCAAGGAAACGCGTTTTTCGTTTAAGGGTCGTAAATATATTAAGCGTTGGACAAAATCAGACATCTGCGTTAGGTGTTTACCTCGAACTCTTTTTGTTTACATTCTCTCCATTGAAAAGCGTGGAAAAAGAGCCGAAGTGCGCACCTGATCTCGCTACACCACCGTTTTCTTTTGCATAATAGACCCTAATAGTCCGCTCCAACGCTTGCCCGCCATTGCTTGCTCACTTGCCCTGAGCATGTATTGGGCACGAGTGCTGACGTCAGCGTTCGGCAAGTACTCGGCTCCAATCACGCGTTTCGTGTCCAGGCAATGGCGACCACCAATGTTGCTTGACAAACTTTTGAAAAGGGTCTATTAAGTCCGTCTGCTGTGGTCCCCGAGTGTCAATGGACGCGCACGGGAACGCAGCGTCTGAGTCCCGCTAGAGCCGCGTCATCTTCCGAATGTCCTCTGCTACCAACGCGCAACGCTAGTTTGGGCACAAAGATAGATTGCCAAACAGACCGCGCTACGCGAGATCACCCCTCGCTTCGCTTGGGCAAGCTTTGTTATAATCTTAGGCCCGAGCGTGCGCCGAACCTCGTCGGAACCGCCAAGGGTTCGTCGGGCGACCGCTTTCCGCTATCAGCGTTGATGTCCACAATGGCCAATCCGACTTTGGCTAGCATAGCGGTGTCCACGTTAGCAAAAGACCCGTTGCTCTCGGGCAGGGGGCGCGAGCGCGTCCGCAAGACGCGACCATGTTATGTTGGCAGCACTATTCAAACGGTGCTGTAATTAATGTTCAATTTTGCACGTGCCACGTTCGAATGCAAGCATCTGTCAGCATCTCTAGACGCGCCCTAACAAAACGTGTAAAAAAAGAAAAAAAAAATGCAGCTCGCGGCCTCAGCGTTCCATCTAGCTTTATTATTTTATTGCGTTCTTTCATAGCTTCCGTGAGCCCCTATGTCTCACTTTGCGTGATAGCGAAGCTGAATCTACTTGCAAGAACATGTTTCCGCGAACGATGCTCGCACTGCGCGAGCGCGCGAGCTTGGAAGGGACACTGCAAGCTCGGAGCCCGTGCTACGCTGGCACTTAGAATGGAACGTAGTAAAAAGACTGTAGTGGGGAAGCGTGTTGACGCACGTTCGATACGCGAGCCAAATATTCTAATCTGCTCGCTTGGAGCACTGTACAAAACCTGAGAGCTACGACCTTTCAGAAAGAAGACGTCGCCTGTTGCTGGCTTCAGATGCTGCCTTCGCGCGTTCCTCTACAAAGAAGACGCTTTGCTGCATGGTGACGCCGTTCATAGCGGACGGACTTCATCGTGCGAGAGGAGACGACGCGGTGGCGAGATCAGGTGCAAACGTGGGCTCGTCCGCAGTGCTTTTCAAAGGACGGAACGTGAACAAAAAAAAGTTCAAAATCAGGACTTAATGAGATGGAGGATTTTCTCCAGCGCCTATTATTTTGACTGGCCTTACACGAAAAGTATGTTCTTAGATCCTAATTTGAATGAGGTCTCTGGTGCTGCAACATGCGACTTAACTACCGATGTGCTGCCAAGGGAATGTAAGAAAATAAAAGTTAATTTCGGAATGGCTTCTAAATGAAGATGTGTTCTGCGGCGTGAATATGGATGCTAAATATAGTTATTTTTTATCACAATTTATTTTTCGCCACACGTCTCCTATCTAGGCGCCTAAGTTTTTTGGAAACTTCATTGTTATTTTGAGGGTACGTTCCTCATATTAGTGAAAGAAGGTGAGTGATTGTTTTCAGACAGATTCTAAGCGGTCCACATGGTCCCGTTCGTATACGTTCGTTTATATTTTAACAGAATTTATTCACTATATTCTCGTGGTTTATAATATCATAACAACACGTTCAGAGGGGTGAGTATCTGTAAGCAAGTAACTATAATTTACGGGTTCAATCTGAACGCGAACCTGTTTATTGGAAGCGTGTGACAAGACAGTGGCGCCACGGTATCAGCTTACCTGACCACAGCGCAACGCAAAAGGTTAGGAGCCACAGACGGCGCCTGTATTTCTTACGCGAGAGCTGGGCATTGAGAACGCAGACGGGATTTGTGTTTTCAATTTCCAGTTCTTGCGTAAAAAAAATATGAGCTGACGAAAACTGCCGCGATCATTTCATTCCTGACACGGCTACTGGATCCGCGATCAAGCGCAGATCACTCTGATGGCAACAGGAGCTAGAAATACATCTCATGTATATTTTACTAATTACTGGCGCTGGTGAATGTTGTTTCGTATTGATGTCAGGGTTGCCGAACACACAAGCGTTTTGTAAATTATTGCAGCGCAGTTAAACGGAACAGATGGCGGTGTGTTGCGATCGATGCCAATTACAACTGCGGGGGATACGACTGAGCCCGAGCTGCGACCAACCCTAAGGGTCTCTTATCCGGCATCAGTGCCCGCGACCAGCTCTCACCTGCCTCCCTCTATCGGCGGTTGTGTCAGTCTGATACCTTTTGTTATCAAACGGATGCCACAGGTAGCGTAATCAAGTTCTTAATTGTTCAGCTTTTTCTCAAGCAAGTTACTTAAAAAAATAGATTAACAAAATGCATTACATTACCGACCCTTGTACAAAATCTTAGCGCTATTCGCCGAGGAAGTGATTTATGCGTTCCTTGAAAGAACAACAAGAATTCATTTGACTCACGCAGTATATTCGTTAAGGGTCAGTTGATGAGTCTCAAGCGTAGGTACAATTTGCCACCAAGACGTTCTAGAGCTGTCAGCGAGCAGTGGTTGTTGACTTTTTTCTCTTGCGGCACCAATACAAAAGACAACGAGAGAAGGGATTCTTAAAAGCAGATTGCGTAAGCAGCTTGAGCGGCTACGCCTCACGTGGTTCGAACTATTTAAAGGGTTGGTAACTTTCACCGCCAGTTGAAATTCAAAGATCAAGTTTGTGGTAGTGTTCAGTCTCTCGGTGATCCTTAAAGGAGCTGTGCAACGATATTCAATTGGAATGTTTTTCACTCTACACGAGCTTACTGGCACACCTGGGACTCAAGGATACTCACACGCAACGCCATTGGCCAAGAAACTCCTTTGTTGCGGTGTAATTTCAAGGACATAAGCGATCATTTTCATTCAATCTCTCCTTTGCAAAATTTGATGACGTAACTCGAGATCGTAGTACACCCAAGTGACGATATTTGAATGCGGTCCGTAGATTGGACCCGAGCATTGCGTGGGCACTCGACTTGGGCTCGTGATAATTGCTAGCTCGAGAAGCATTCGGGTTGTGACCCTTGCCCAATCGCTGCAATGACGACAACAGCCGAGCCATAAC